AAGTAAGTATATATATATATATATATATATACAACCTTGGGCAGGAATGTTGATCAAGTCCTTAACTATAGCATTGGATCTAAACTTTTATAATAACCCATTCAACTTACAAACTTTTCGTTGTAATGATAAATAATTGATTTCCAAGCGAGTGCGTTGAGACATGGCCATACTCTCAGTATAAGATAGATCTCTTACCTTGGATCGTAGTGAATAAATAATTTCGAAGCTGATTGCCTTGAAAAAAGTCTAACTAAGTTATAACAGAAAAAGAAAAACAACAAAATCTGGATTCAAGTCTTAACAAATTATAAAAATGTGCCCAGTGAGCAGTTCTTTAATATTATTATCAATTAAGTTGTTGAATTACACGCATACACTGTAATAATGGTGATTTGTCTAAAGAGTGGTTTAAAAAAAGACGTTAAAACAAGAAAGAAAAATGTAACATCTGGTGATATTATAAACATAGCTTGTTTGTTTGTAGTTATGCACAAATCTACACAATGGGTTATCTGTGCTCTGCCCACCACGGGTATCGAAACCCGGTTTCTAGCGTTGTAAGTCCGCAGACATACCGCTGTGCCACTGGAGAGGGGGCACAAACATAGCTATAAACAAGCTTTTGTCACAAATCGGAAGAAACTGCCATCTTAAAGGCTTTAAAGAGACCATATTAATTTGTTTTGTTTCATCTCTAAAAATGTCAATATGATCCAAAATTTCAGACACTGGAATTGTAGCTATTATTAGATTTTGGTAAAATAATTTTCAAAGTTTCAATATCTAGGCTAGGTAGTCGGATTATTTTGTTAGAGATTATTTTTGGCTATATCAACTTAAACGTACGTAAAATTAACCCAGTGGTTTAGAATTTACTAAATTTTATTTTGATTTTTTTTGTGTATCAAAAATGTAACATTTGAATCTATATTTGGCGAATTTGTTATTTTTCATATGTATTTTTGGTTATATCGCGAACAGTAATTAGAATCATTTACATATTCTTAAATTTGTCTTTCTTTTCTTAAGATTACAACGCTAGAAACCGGGTTTCGAAACCCGTGGTGGGCAGAGCACAGCTAGCCCATTGTGTAGCTTTGTGCATAACTACAAACAAACAAACATACTTTTCTTAAGATAATTTATTATTCAATACTTAACATGTCATACACTATAAGATGAGTATTATTACTTCAAATAAGAAACCTTTTCCTCAAAATAGTGCCTGCTGAAAAAAACCGGTCTCCCGGTGAGACTGTGGTAAGTTTATGGATTTACAATGATAAAAAAGCCGAGGTTCGATTTCCCGCGGTGGACACAACAGATAGCCCAATGTGGCTTTGCTCTAAAACAAACAGACGAAAAGGCCAAACCAAAAAGTGAAATACATTAAAAATGTAATACATATTAAAAACTTCAATCATACAAGCTCCACACTTCTATTTGAAAAAAAAAAAGGAAGTGGTATTACAGAGACACGGGAACAAAAATCAAACTGGGTGGTTCTAAAAATAGGAAATGGGAATATATTCTTAAATAAATAGGAAATCATCGTTTTTGGTACATTTCATAATCATATGCACAGACGAAACCAAGACAGTTTTATAATGAATAAGAAAGACATAGTGACACGAAACCAAAAACTCAGAAGACCAAGATAATTCTGACATAACAGTACAATATTGCACAGCGTTAGAAGATCGCCATATGACTACTTCAACTAATGGTCAGTAGTTAATCCCAAGTTTTCGCTATATTTGTACACAACTATACAACCAAAAGAATCTAGATGTTTTTAAAAGTCTGGTAAGAATATATTTTCGAGGTTATTTAACAACAAAAAAACCCTATAACCTGAGCGCTTTCGAAAGATGGACCTTTCTTCATTAGGAGCAAACTGGGAAGATTATTCTATTGAGAGAGGTTACATATATAAGTAATCCGCGTCACACCAAACATACTCGCCCTTTCAGCCGTGGGGGCGTTATAATGTGATGGTCAATC